ATTAATTTAAAATAAATTTATATAAACTTTTTATTGTTTTGCATAAAAATTTTGAGTTTAATATTGGGTAAAAAAGTATTCGGAAACTTTTGGCGGGGGTCTGAATATAAAAAAGTAATTTGAATTTATTAACGTTTCTAAACCCTTTTGGCTTAGTTATATTACATTACCAAAGCCTCTTGGCTTAGCTACAACAAAAAATGCCATTACAACATCAATATCCCATTTGCGAACTGGACGGAATTGATTTTCATAAAATTAACATGAACGACATGTTGAACAAATTAACGTTTGTGGGCAGAATTAGCTTAAATTTTTTTTCTAACCGATTATATTTAGGTTTTTATAATGGTGTGATTGGTTGCAATTATTTATTAAAGCATTTGAGAGGCTGTAAAGTAGAGGTCTGCAACGCCGCCACTGTTTGTATATTATTGTTGTTAATTAGCATTTTGGTATTACATAGTGCTCTTCATTAATCTTTATTGTTTATTTATTATATAGTAAAAATTTGTTAAAAAATTGTAAATAATACATACATCATGTTATTTTTATAATTGTTAAATTTCGCTTCGCCAATAATATAATTAAGGCCGGGCCGGTCTGGGCCGGGCTTAAAAAATTGGACTTACGCAGGTCTCTACTGTAAAGGCTCTTTATGAGAATCTCCAGCAAGCAAATATAAGTTTGAAAAGGATAAGCCCAGTAAGCCTGATACTTGAAAAAAGCTATATAAAGTGGAAAATTTTTTATCACATTGTCAAGAGACAGCCATTCCATCAAATAATTTAAATTGTGACACTATCCTGATTTACTTATAAATACACGTCTTTAAGCTACATTTCCACAAGAATCTTATTTTATATAAAAAAAATATTTGTGATATTAATCCTTCAAATACTTCCAAAGCCATCATGAAAATTCACATTTTTATGCTCATTATCGTCATTTCAACTTTCACTAATGTTGCTTTCTCAGCTCCTTCTAGTGAGAAACACTCAAGCTTGGTGAAAAGGTGCAACTGCATCTTTGAATGTGGTATTTGTGATTGCTCGGTGGAGGATTGTAAAATATGTTGTGCTTAGTGTTGTTAAAGATTATGGAACTTGAACTTAAAACTTGAATTCCAATGTTCCGACTTCCAATGTTCCATTTGTTTTCAGCATTCCTGTGTAAAGTTTTTGGATGCTTCATTCTTGCAAATACATTGCTCATATATTTTTTTCATTTATTTTCAATATAATGTCCATTACCAGGTGATTCCGGAAATTTTTTATCACTAACTTGTTGATTTGAATTCAAAGTCACGAGTTGAAATTGTATAATAATTTTGAATATTGTTTCGACTTAAACTTTTTTTATTTGTAAAAATCAATTATTGAGGCAATTACATCTTTTAATGCGTATGATTGAAATAATTGATTATATTTCCTTTAACACTAAAAAATATATAAGTTTACCATTATAATCATCTAAACCTTATCTCGAAATGTCGCAGTCTCAGTTAACTTAGTCACGTCACTTATTTGAATTAGCAATCATAACTTTGCATTTCGACTGAAATTATTATAAAGTTTTAGCCAGAATTAAATTGTCAAAATCCCATCCCATTTTGAAACATTTATTTAATTGAGTTTCACGATGCTCTGATTCAGTCGCGGCTCAGTCATTTGAAAATACCCACTTGGTGTTTGCAGGGTTGACTCTGCCGTGCAACGACTAATATTATAACAGTGAATATTGAAAATTTGACTGATAACTCAAGAATTTAGGATTAATAAATTATATAAACTCTTACCTTTTCACAACCAGAGCTCATCAAAAATATAAGAGATATATCATGGTCAATCTGACTTTAATACGGTTGTAGTTCTAAAATAATAAATATATATTCCTCAATTCGAATAGTTGTTACTAATAAATAAGCTTACGTGGAACAGCAAATATTTTTTTTACTTTGATTTAATATTTGACGCATCGTATTACCCCGACTAAGAACTTACAAAGTAAAATGGATATATCCAATATGCAACTTTTTTTTAATAAACTATTTAATAAAAGATGAATTTCAAAATTTGTAACTCAAGCATCAAGAAATTCATTATTATTACTAGAATTAACATGAATATTTAATACGGTAAATAAGCATAGGAAAATGGAAAAGCGTTTATTTTGAATAATATAGTAGATCGAATGAAATCACAAATAATTTCGATCTGTTTAATAAAGAATTTATCGTCAAAAAGCAATGTATGGTTTGGTTGTAAGAGATTAAAATTTTATATTATTGATTTTTAAGATATCAAGTCTTTACTTGATATTGTTCAACAAAGCAAACTTCTTTATTATTAACAAATTTATCTAACACCGAAAATATCAGTCATAGAGAAATCTAATACTAGACTAATGAATCATGAAAATATTTAAGGCGCAGTATGAGAATTGTCGAGTTAATTTTCATCAGACAAAGAAAGGTGACAACACTTTACTTTTGCAGAAGTCTAAATCAATCTTATCACTTCATCAAATTCATTAAATAATGTTTAAACTCTTTTTTTACAATAAAAAAATAAAGTCGTCATTTTATAAAAAAAAAAATTCTGTTGTAGAATATTTGGGTTTGCTGATTATGCTTAGAATAAATTCTCTAATAAAAAAATATTATAATATGAAGTAGGACGCTTCAATTGTCAATGATAAACAATGTCGCTTATAAAGGATAAATTTATTCCGCGTGTTTATAGAAGGGATTGGAATCAATTCAATAATGTGATTTTATCGATTGTTCGTAATTAATCGTTTCTCGAGCTTCGATTCTAATGTTTGATTTTTAGTCAGTTTGATTAATCGATTTTTTTTTATGCAGCGCAGGGGTAGACAGAAAACCGGTACGGTGCCAGACCAGTACAGTACGATTATGCAGGGTATATAGAAAACCGGTACGGTACGATTCGCCAGACCAGTACGGTACGATTATGCAGATCAGTATTTTTTCGCGGGAAATTTGAATCGTACCGTACCGTACGCAGCGATTTTTTTTTGATCACCACCATTTGAATACGGCCAATCATCACCAAAAAAAAAGAAAATCATTTACAAAGAGTTTTTCTCTGAATTTTTGAATTTTATTTCGGGTTCGATTCTTTCGGGATGCACAACATAATGAACATTATTTTCTTGTTTAATCTAAATATATAAAGTAAAGCACTTGACAATTTTATTAATAAAGATATATAATAAATTATTTTATCAAATCACGATACATGATACGACATAAGCCAATTGAAATGCCAATTTGCATTTATCATCCAAATTCAGACTATAAAACCTTCAAATATTTACAAAGCGTTCCGCGTTCATCATATTCCATGACAACAAATATTTTTCAATTGATCATTTTTATTTTCTAACTAAAAAATAGATTTTAGTCTTTTAAAAATTAAATTTAATCTTAGTGGAAAATTTATCATTACTTTCTTGATCGGATTTAAACGAAAAATAATATTATCATTGAAATCAACATCACGATGAAGTTAAAACTAAAACCAACTGTTAAATCTTTTAATTGCATATATTGCGAAAGTTAAAAATATGCATTATATTTAATCATTACCTCTTTAAATGCGGTGTTTTCGATGTTATGAAAAGATTTCAATGCAAAATAATTATGAAAATTTTTCCAATTTGCACGAAAGACTTTTCCGAAACTTCCAATTTATTGAAAGTTGCTAAAATGTTTATACTGGTAATATTTGAAACGATTTTTAGATATTTCTTCTTCTATCCACTACATTTAAATTATTGTCGAATTGTATTTTGATATTTTTAAAGAAATAATTTTGTTTTATAAGGAGGAATTTCTTTGAGAAATGTAAAATAAAATCATTAATTAAATCATGTATATAAGGACAAATAAACATTGTTCATACATTCGATCACTTACATAAAAACGTTTATTCTGAATAAATATTTAAAAAAGAGTGGACTCTGGATTACAAAAAAAAAAATTAACTTATATTTGAATTCAAATAAAAATACTGCGCTAATGAATTATTTGGACTCAATATACTGAAGTTAGGACGATGTTGTTTGAATAAATCATTTCTTATATTCTTTATTTTAATGCTATAATAACCAGACATTACTAATTTTTGAAATTATATGATAATAGGATTTAATTTAATATTGGATCACAAACAGACAAGTATTTTAAAATTAATCAATTTTAAAAATTTATTTATCTATCAAATACAGTAATTTTTATTTGAATTGAGCATATTATGCTTATTAATTATTATCGTTAATGCCTCAGATAAACAATTAACGTTCGTCGAAAATTTAATTTGTAAAAAAAAAAAAAAAAAAAAAAATTTATATAAAATTTAATGTCACGTGAGGGTTCGCATAAACGAAAGCCTGTCCTAATTAATAAATTTTACGTAATTCATTGTAAATTTACTTTAGATTAATTTTTATGGATCATCTTAAATAAAGAGGATCTTGTTCATGGTTGCTTTGATTATAGGTAATATAATAATTATTTTGATTATAAGTATAATGAATATTTTGAGGGATTGGTAACGTTTGTTGCCCATAAGTATTCGCAGATATGGACATGTTCGTGTGAGATGGAATCATACTTCCCCCGCTATATGGAATCATTCCTTGCTCATTATTATTAATCCTTTCAGGAGGAAACCCATGGGTGTAAGCGTTATTAGAAGGTGGGGTTTCTGGAATCATTCCTGGCTCATAATTACTCCTTCGAGGGGGTCGTTGTCCATAAGTATTATCAGGAGTGGTTGGCCTGGTATTCTCATGGTTGTCACTTTCCCTTCTATTTTTATTCCATCTATATAAATAAATTACACTGAATGCTACAAAAAATCCAACAGCTATCGCTATACCAATTACAGCTGATTCATTTAATGGCGTTGTTGTTGTTTGTGTTGGAGAAGCGGTTGGCTGCACTTTTGAAGGTTTGGTTGGAGAATCTTTTGATGTAATTTTAGGAGAAGGACCAATTATTGGATCAATTGGATCTGTTGGATCAAAATTGTCTGTCCATATATATTCTTCATTATCACTAATGTCAAGCAATAAAATATCATTATCTTCATAACCTTGACCTATTGAGTTTAATATATAAATTAATTCTTATGTAACATTCAAATTTTTTTAATATTTTATGATCAAATTGACACACTCGTATACATACCAAATGATACAACCATATATTTTCCAATTACGTTCGCTTCATGCCAACGTCTGGGACTCGGAATTTTTCCAGAAATTTTTGGAATGTACCACTCGTAATTTATTAAATTTAATACGTAAAGCGCATTCTGAGATTGAAGATTTTCGTATTCCTTTGCCCCTCCGAAAATTATGACTCGTTGTCCATCCAATCCTTTATTAGAAGAATATATATCGATATACATATCATAATTAATTAAAATTTAAAATAATTATGACGTTATATAATATAATACCTACCAAGAACAACAGAAAAAGAATTTCTGTTTGAAGGTATTTTTCCTGAAGTTTTCTACGCAAAATCTAATATAAGTATATCAGCTGTTAAAAATCTTTATAAAGCGAACTCACCTTTGTGCTCCAATTATCATCAATCGTATCATATAGGTATACCTAAAGTTTCATTGATTGTTAAATATATAAACTTTCAATTTCTAATTATTTCAATTAAAATTCACCTCATTTAATGATAAAGCAACTTTATCATAGCCACCTAAATAACAGTAATTTATAAACAAGGCAATTGATAACAGATTGTAAAATATAATTGCTATAAAATTATTTGCTTACCAATATAAATAATTAAATGATCCGAGATGAGGGTTGAACCAAAAACACATCTTGGAGAAGGCGCATTAATTGAACTTCCTATTTTCCAATCTAGATTTATTGTATCGAAAATAATCATATCATTTCGATTATCATTAAGATTAACTCCAGAATTTCCACCAAACATATACATTTTCCCCTTATCATCAACAATGCCTTTTAGGTTATCTTTTCTGCCAATATTGACATCAAACATTTTTGGAATACCCCATGAATAACTTCGAGCATCAAATGCATAAATTAAAGCCATTGTTTCAGTATTATCATAAGGCATTCCTCCATATAAAAACAAGGTGTTATTCTGTGCACCACCTTTAACGGATGCAGCAGCCAAATGTGCTGGAATTATATTAATGCTTGTTAAATCGTGCCATAATATATTTTGAGTATTAAATGGGACAGAGACGTCTAAATAAAAAAATTCTCTTCCGACTCTTCTAGTACCCAGTTCATTAAAACCACCTAAGATATATAAATTACCATCAATAAGTGTGGACGTATGACTGGATCGTTTTGTTGGCTTGAGCACATTTTGACAATTTATTTTAATTAGTAATTGAATTAAAACCCAGACGATGAATATGAAATTATTCTTTGACATAATTAAATAATTAAAGATAATTACAGTAAAGAATTAATTTTGCACAAAAATAGAATATGTGATAATTAAAGTTGTAATACATTACTGAGAACAAAAAAATATTTCGCAATGCGCATTTAATTTAGTGTAACATTGTACGTCGGCAGAGACTAAAAACAGCGAAATAATAAAACAAAAATTTTGTTTATTTACAAGATATCGCCATTATCTTTTTTTATTTATCACAAAAAATTTTTTTTAACGTAAGTTTATAAACTTTTCAAAATTTCAAATTTTGGCGGTTTTTTCGTATGTCGTGCCGATCTTCAATGGTCCTGGGATTTATTTATGCCACTCAATTTTTTTTAATGTTTTAAACATCACGCATGACTTTTATAAATTTCGGTACCCACTGATAAATTCCATTTATGTTTTAGATTATTTTTAACAGTAATTGTTCGATTGCGTTGCTGCGCAATAATGCAATTCTAAATAATGATTATTAAGCCAAATAAAGTTTATTACAATAAACCTTTAAATAGCGAATTTCTGAAATTTTAAATTGAACGGTTCAAAGCTTTAAAATTCACTTTTAATATCAAGTTTCAACATGAATTTGAAATAAAAGAGTTCGTTGAATTTTCAAATTATAAACTATAATAATTTAGACGAAGAAATGTTAAAGTATTAATTTTCTCTATAATTACACTATCAACAATCGTTATTATTTTTGATATGTGAGATCTTCGCAATAGAAGTGGCGGAAAAAGCAAATTTAAAATTCATAAATATTTTTTTGATCGAGATATGCTACTAAATAATTTTTTTCTCTCACGATAATTTTAGTTACATTGTAGATCAGCTGTCACGAGGTTTTCAAGTTTATTATCCTAGAAACAATATAAATATAATTGCGATCAGATAAGAGCCTCGGTATAGGATCTAGTAACTAAAAATGAATTTATTCAATTTTGATTTTGTCAAAAATATCAGAATAATAAAATAAAGAATGTCAATGATCACGAAACTTTGACACGTGATCTAAGGCCACAAGTATCCTAAACAGTTTGTATGTAAAAAAAATACTTAAAATTAAAATGAAAGAAATTTATTTATGAAATTAATAAAAAAAGTTCTTTTATATACATATAATTTATTTAATGTAATTTATTTTCTTTTGCTTATAAATAAAATAAAAAATTACTGATATTTTGCGCATTGTAACATGATGGATTAGGGGGGCGAAATTCCTCATCGTATTTCTAATTTTAATTGTATAATGCACATAATTTGAACTTTTAAAATGGCGATAATAAATTACATTTTTATGAGTTAATTAATGCACCGAAAATTATATTTTCATGGTATTAATTTTAAGGCAGATCTTTTATCTCCAAGAATTTAAGACGTTAAGACGTTATATTCTAATTTACGGTTATCGGCAATCCTTTAATGTAAAAATTTCAATCCTAAATATAGAACATTTATTTCTATTGATATTTATATGAGATAATAATAAGTTTAAACTTTTAGCAAGAATAAGAAAAAACCATTGATCGAGTGCAACCGCTTTTTAAAGACAAATTTAAAGTGATCGACGAATTGCATGTACTGAACCTTAAAAAATGACAACGATAAATAAACAATTTTTTTTTTTTATAACAATGTCGAACAGTAACAAAAAAGAAAAGCATAATATATAAGTTTAAAAATATATTTTAAAAAAAAAAGGAATTACTATATCAATCCAGCAAATAGAAAATCATACTTTATCCTGATCGCCGTTTATTAAACATTTCAGTAATGGCGTAGTACTGAACACAACCTAAAGGTTTGTAACGCTCCACATCATCGCTCGACTTTTCATTTCTTGTATCTCGTGACTAAATAAATTAATTAGTTGATGATTCTTATAACGTGCCCATCATGAACGTTAGCATATATTTTTACGGCTAAATATCAAAATCTAAGTAACTCCGCTGAATTTATGGTTAAATTTCTAATGGACGAAACCAACACAACGTTCTAAGTGATAAATGAAAAAAGAGAAGGTCGGTGGTGGGTCAGACCAGATTCAATCAAAAGAGAGTCTGACATCCCAAACAGATACCATAGGAATAGTATTATCCTGCTAAGGCTTACTCTCGTGCTTCAGAGAAATTAGGCACATAGAAATACACAGTCTCAAGAGGATAATCCCACCAAGAGACACCACCAAGACTTAGGACATGACAGTGCTTTTACTATGCACCCCTAGACCCCACAAAGTTAAAAACAGACAAGTGACAAATTCAAATGACACCCACCTAAAATAATAGCTTGATACTTCAAGTTGCTTGTCATTCAAAGATTCAAAACCACTTTCGTCCACAATAAAAGAGATCTTTGTGTTTTACCGTACCATTGAATCAGAAACAAATAAGCTTTGAGTTAAGTGATATTTCTGATGTGAGGGACTTTTAATAAACAAAACACGAAAAGACGGTTGGTTGACAGGTCGATTTGGAAAATTTACAATCACAGATTACGTATGTTTTTCTTTACGAACATGCGAGTAAAAATCTCGAAATGATATTATGTAAAATAAATTTATTGTAATAAATGTGAAGAAGACTGATTTTGTCAAAACTTAAGAGAGAGAGAAATAAATAAACCGAAAATGTTTACACGTACCGGTACATTTTAAGGCCAGAAATGACGTCATTATAAATTTTGACTTGCATCAATTCCATTTAAGGAAATCATAATTACGTAATAATTCTTAGTTTATTAACAGAGTTGAAATTGATTTTTTCATTTGCTTTCTTTAAATGCTCAATGCCCGCTCTTTTTTTTTTTTTTTGTAATTCTTGAATTCAAGCTTATTATTAAAAGTTGATGTTTTCAATATCTTGGAAATTTTTAGAGGTTTAATTTATTTGCTTTCAAACTATCATTTATTTTAAATACTAATTAACACGGATGAGGAAGATTTGTAAGAATAGTAATTTTGCTTTTTTTTCTTTTATTTAAAGTGCTCGCTTACATAAATCTAAATTTTTAAATTAATCTTTTTAGTGATTTCCAAAGAAGGATGCTAACGGTCACAATATTTCCATTAAAATATAATTTGTAAAGCCTCGATTAGAATCACTTCTCGATCTGCTGCGGTAAGCTTTTTTTTCTTCGTTTAAATAGATACTGTATCTAATTATCATAAATATTTTTGATAAATAATAATTTTTTACTTGGCACATTATTTATTTTTTTTGGTGACTATGCGCTTTCAATTTATGATAAAAAAATCGCTGCGCCATAATAAAATCATTAGAATCGGCGATTAATCGATTTAAAATCTTTTCTATTTTTTTACGACTTGGGCTGCATTGGTAATGTATTATATTTAATTCATTAATTATTTTTAGAAATTCTGGTTTGATCGCGTTGGGTTTTTTTTTTAATTTTTTTTGTTTCCTTTTATTTTGAGTTTTTAAATTGTCAGGTTCAAGACGCCGATTCTTTATTTTTTTTTTTAGAATTTGTTGTTTTAGGCTCCTCTTTCGGGGGTTGGTTCGCTTTTTTTGATGAGATGGATCGAAATATTACGCTTCAGGCTCCCTAGTTCATTTATAACAAAGCAGAAACCAAGGATTCACTGTCACAATGTAAAATAATTTTTAGAAAGTTTTTCGATGGCATTATATCCAAATGATCAAAAATATTATAATTTCCTAAAATATATTGGGTTGAAAGTTGATTTAGTCTAATAATATCAAAAATTAAAATGAAATAAAAATCAAAATTTTGTTAAAAAATTCTCAGAGCCTGATTTTCCTAATAGAATATATGATTTTTATTGTTATTGCACAATTTTTAGATTAGCAATTGAATTTATGAAAAATTTGCTATGCTGGATTTTAAGATGAAATAATAAATTAATAATTTAATAAATCAATATCAATATATGCCTGTGGGTTGCAGCTCATGTTAATCAAATTATTTGACTGATTCAATTATGATGATACGGATCACAATGAAAGTTTGGATAAGTCAAAGGTATTCATTCTATTTGTTTCAAATAGGGATATTAAAAAGTCCTATGGGACTAGGTCCTATGAAGTTCAAAGTTTTTTGTACTATAGGACTGTGGTCCTATATTAATTGGAACTTGCGGTCCTAGAACTACAGTCAATATTAAAAAGAAAATTCTAGATGAATCGATCAAGGAAGAGTGATTGAAACGTTGTAATTCTTGATCGTTCTAATTGAACGATACATCATCGTTCTCGAACGATTATGGTTAATTTATATTTAGTAGACCGATATTTATATATTATTAAGACCTTAGTTCTCGAACCTCTGCAGTCCCGGGATTTGGTCATAGAATTCAGTTCTATAACCCAATTCCTATAGGATAGGGAGTTGGACCAGACCGGATTTTAACATCCCTAGTTTCAAAATATTTGTAGGTTATCCCAATTAAAAAAATGAATTAATACATTTCTTTTCATATATGAAAGATTATAAAGTTATATGAAATTTAACTTATAATCAATTCTCTAACTATATTCACATTCTATTACAGCAGAGCAATATTTATACTCGGTAATAAGGAACATTTATCAAAAAAGATGTAATTCCTGATATACGTTTGTTAACAACATTTTCAGTGAAATTCGCGTGACTCTTTTTACTCTTAATGGGACTTTTCGTCAAAATAATGCACAAATTAATTATATTGGTTTGAAAGAAATTCATAATAAAAAAAAAATAAAGGTCTGGAAAATGGATGTCACCTCAATGCAAATTCAAATGATTAAATATCTGTACAAAATTGTTTTGCGCTCGGATAATTTTTACATTATCACGGTTTGATATTTAAATTGTAATTCAAATAAAATGCAGTTATCATTCTCCTCAGAATTAATTCTTCTAAGGATACTCAGTAGATTTTCTCGTATCTTCCTAAATATTACTTTACTAAAAAATCGACATTATTTTTATATTTAATAATATTTGTGTATTCTTAAAAAGTTATCGAACTAAAATCCTAAATACATTTCTCTGAAATGCTAACAATAATCAATTAATTTTGTCGTATACAATTTGTGACGCAAGATTCTTTTGACACAACAAATTTCGAACGAAACGCGTTATAATCTATGCAACTTTGCAATTTTGTGGAATTATTTTTATGGAATCACCTTTTTTAAGAGACTTGAATATTTCTTATTAAAGGGAAACACGACTAATTGGCTGGAAATTATGAGTTAATGAATTACAATTACGATTTATTTTAAATCTCGTACATTCAATCATTTAACATCAATGAAAGATCTTGTGAAAAAAACTTCCATGATATTTTAAAGCCATATTTATTCTAAAAGAAAATTATTGAAAGTAAAAAAAAAGCACGCGGTCATGTCTAAATTTTTGCAAGATAGTAGAAATTTATCTGTCTACTTTTTTTACATTCATATTAGGTTATAAAAAAGGGTATACAAGATCTGGTTTAGAAACACAAATCCTCATTTACAAAATATACGAAATGTCGATTTCGTCCTTTTTCCCAACACTCACCCATTTAAAATGTCCTTAATTAACTATTTAAAGTCTTGGAGGCAAAATGTTTTATTTTCAATATTGCTCAAAATTTTATATTAATATAAATAATTCTTATGATTCGAGAGTGATTTACTGATATATCATTTTTAGAACTTTGGATTTTTTACTCAGTTTTATCATAAATCATTATGAACTTATATATGGCTGAGTTTTATGTTGTTAAGATTATACTTTATTGATATTTGTAAGGTTGAAACTTGCCTTTTGTCAAGGCGACGATAAATAAAATATAAGAATAATAAAGAGATATCTAATATAATAATGATAATAATTATAAAAGTAACAAATTACGATTCATAAAGTAACGTCACGAATATATTTTCAACGATATATAAATTAAAATTTTGGAATCAGCTTCTTTCTGCTACTGGTCTTAGGTGGAAGAAGAGGTGGGTTGTAAACGAAGTTGTTGAATTCTTGCCAATGACATAAGAACTGCCCGTCTACCGTCTGGTTCTGCGAGGTCGAGACCGGTATTCAACCCATTTCCTTGGTCATCGTCGAATCTCTATTCGCGTTTTAGGCAAACCATAACCAAACTCCTTTATGTATGTATCAGGGATCACTGCCTTATAAAACACGTAAGTGGAAATAATGCGAATGGCGAATAAATTTTCTATCGTTATTTCCCCTTGTATTTTCATCTTCCACGGCAAATTTTTCAGCAAGAATTTGTGCTTCCCCTAAACAAGAAGCTGATTTAATGTTCTTCGAATGTTTATCCTGTTAAAGAAAAGATTTTGAGTCATCAAATAATATGGTATGTCAAATAATTGAAAACACACACACGAACCTCTATAATTATCATAGAAACTCCTGTCTTTGCTACTACATATTCAGCTATTGTCAACACCTTCTTAGTACTTTCCCCTTTCTAGATTTGGATGTTATGCAAAATTAAGAACTAATTAAAGCATATAAAAAGCAAATATTACTATTTATTAATTAATACCTAGTTATTTGACCAAAATTTGGCTGTTTGGCCATTTTAGCCAATTTTGGCCATTGGCAACACTGCTTAAAAGTCAATGGCCATTTTTCGAAGTCAATAGCGATAGAAACAGATGGATTACTAAAGAATCAGTCAAAGATTCCTCCGTTTCTACATTTCTACATTTCTATATCAATCCTTACAATAATGATGATTTCGTGAAGTTTGCGTAAGAATGTTTGTACGTGTCCATTTGAATCAACATTGTCAATAACGAATTCATGTCTTTCGAGGACAACTCGATTAATGGTTTGGATAACGTATGCACTCCGAAAGTTCGTGACTAGACGATAAGTATATGTTCGCTATGAAGATTATTAACACATATAGTACTTACTGTCAACAGCAGGTATGACTTCGTTCTCTTCAGAAGCCGGTACGAAGGTTGCATTTAATGCTTCCATATCTTCTTTGCAAATTTAGGTGCCGAAGAAGGAAGGTCATTTAAGCCAAAACTGGAACGTGAACTGGAACCGGAACTGGGACGGATACTAAGATTCCTGGTGGCTCTTGTAAGATCTGAATTTTGTCTGGCAATGCGTCCGACTTCCGCTTAGGTGCAGCATAACTCGAACTCCTACATTTTTTCGTTTTTCGAAGCTTTTTGTGTGATCTCTTTGGAAAACTCTCATTTTCACTTTCCACATTTTTTCGTTTCTGTGTTGCGTTTCTTGTGTGGCCTTATGTGTCCTCTTTGGATAACTCTCCACATTTTGTTTCTGCTGTTTTTTGAAGACATCAGTTAAACAGTACGACAAAAATAAAAGCTCAGAATTTCTATACTACAACAGAAAAAATAGAACGTTAGTAAACTTTCTTGAATAAGCCACCCAGCCACCTAAAAAGAATTTCTTATCGGTATTGGTCCCAAGAATCCAGAATCTAAAGAAGCTGGTCCTACAAAAGAAACAAAAAGAGCGTTCTTTGAGATTCCAGCCCACACCAAAAATTCCAAAGAAACAATACACTTACCGATTTCAGAGTCCAAGAAAGCTGGTACCAAAAGCCGGTCCTAAAGAGGAAAAAAAAAAAAATAAAATAAAATAAAAATAAAAATAAAATAAAAAATAAAAAATAAAAAACAAAATAAAAAATAAATAAAAAAATAAAAAAAAATAAAAAATAAATAAAAAATACAAAATAAAAAAAAAAAATAAAAAACTTTATTAAAAATGGGAAGTAAAATTCCATACGTAGGGGGATTATTCTACGTAGCAGGACGTAAAAGATAAGAAACCAAGAAATCCAGCAATAGCGACGCCATATTAGGGGGAAAATACGAGAAAGTGAAGCAAACAGGAAAAATAAAAAAAATATTTTTTTTTTACTAACCCTCACGTGATTATACGGAACATTCTGATTGGTCCGATTGGTGACGATATATATGTTGTGCGTTAACGCCTATTTTAGACTGATCTTATAATGCCTTAAGAAGGTTTGGCCAGCATTAGTCAGTCAACTGTCAGTTGACTCAAATCGACACCTGAATAATTCGTAATAGTGATAAAGAATTTTCTTATAACGAAGCCCGGACGGACAATTCGTTATATCAAGAGTTGACTGTAACCATTCCATAAGCAGCGGGTGAATATTGGTGATACAAATTATGTCAACGAAGTATTTCTTATCTTCATCAAACATAGATTCGTGGAATTCATGAAACTTGTGAACATCCTTTATTGCTTCAACTAACTCTCTCAAGCTTGGTAATTTTGGAATTGCCATTTTCAATGAACTTATTCGGGAGATCTAGTCTCTGGCATAAAAAAGTCCATTCATTCACACCAATAATTTTCTAGAGTTGTAATCTCATTCCCATTCCCATCTTGGTCCTGAGGAAAAAGGTATTGTCGTATTGTCAGATTGCGACCAATCGATTCTTTTGATGCCCGTTGCGAGCTGTCATTGATGCACCAAACGCAACGTTATTAATCTTTTTCTGTCTTGATTTCCAGTAGACATTGATTGTTCTTGGATGCCTCCAACGATTGGGATCCAATTATTTTTATCTTTAACCAATTTGATTGAGATGCCGAAAAGAAATTTTACCTGATTCAGATATGTGAATTTTATTGTCCCTTTCCTCTCAAGACTTTTCTTTAGGAGGAAATAGTTTGTCTTATTCTTCCTGATATTTTACTTCATGAAGGAAATCTGATCGTGTAAAGTTAACAGAGAGCATCCCATGGGGAAGTTATGCTCCTTGCTCTTTCATAATTATTGGTTCTGGAAAATTGGTTGAAAATTCGTTAGTTTCTCCTCCTAATGTGCATTATAGGGCAAACATCCATGGAGTAAAACCAAACATCGAGATATACCTTTATGGCAGAAGATATCGGTTGAAAGCTTTCTTTTCCTTTTTGCTCGTCTTCACCATGAAATCCCAGATCTAGGTGAAAATATAGTTGCCTGGTAAAACTCTCGGGTTTCGACGGGGTCATTGGCAAAACTGTAATAAACCTTATTAACAAATCCATCAAAATATAGGGTTTCGACATTTGCCATTTGCTAAAATGAGTGAGTTTTACCAGGCAACTATAGGTGAAAGTACTTAAAAGAAATTTCCATTTTCTTGTTTTACGTAATAAATAGCTAAAAATAACCTACCTTGTTTAACGTCCTTTCCTCCTTAGAATCAAGATTATTGAAAGTAAAAGCGAAGTTATTGTTATCCATTATGACGTTTGATGAATGATGAATATCAGTAAATATTATCCGCTTACTAATTGTTCGCCCATGATGTTTTATATTGATATTTTACCAGATACACTATCGGAGTTGAAGTTTCCGTGAAAATATCAATATGATGCAATTACCGTGATATATCAAATGAAAATTGTACCGCAAAATATTTAATATATTTTATTTAACAAGCTTGATATAAAAAAAAGCATTTTTTAAAATATTACATTATTACAAGCATAAAAAAGTAAAAGTTAACATTTGAAAGTGACAATTATTAAACATCGGAGCCTTGGTAAATCTTGTGATCCAAAATTTATAATTTGTAACGGTTTCTTATTTTAATCTTGAATTTGTTGCACAGGAATAAAATTTCCTTTTCAATGTCAATATTTTTGGATGTTTTAGGTTGTAACATGTTAAATTTTACACAGTCTTCTTTGATCTCATTTAAAAAAAAAATTATAAAAAAAAAATTATTTAGATGTAAAAAAAACAGAGTATTAGAACATAAATGCATTATACAATATCTGCATTTAGACATTTAGACAAAAATTGTTTTCTTTTTTTCTCTTAGAAAAAATAAGAATAAATAGCAAAAAATTCTGTTTTTGAAACAAAATGGTTAATAACTATTAACAATAGTAATTGCAACAATAGTAGCAACTTGTAGGGATGAGAATTATGATGACAAGGTCAAAAAGGAGCTTTGTGAGAAAATAAATAGCTTTAAGGAGGTAATGATTTAATTTTAATTTCTACATAAATGAAAAATGAAATAATTTTTAGACATTTTTTAACAATCAATTCTTAGAGTTTAGTTATTATTGAAGAATGTAAGATAATCAAAAGATATTTAATTTATTTATATTTTAAAATTATTATTAATATCATTACAAAATTTGAGAAAGACAATCTTATTTTAGTATCTGCCTCTATTCTTTCAAGCAGAATCTCAGCATTATATCTGAATTTCAAATACCAAAAAGACAAACTAAAATTTATGTCAATAAATAAAACATACAGTAAAGATAACTCTATAAAAAAAGAAAATATTAGAATAAAAGTTTGTCGATAAACATAATTTCTTTTAAATGAATAGAAAGAAAAAAATATAAATAGGTAATAATAGTATATATAAAAATTCATAAGCTAAGCTATAAAAGATAAGGTGCTGAGAAGAAGCTAGTAATCACCATAATAATAGCTATGATGGATTCACAGAAAAGAAATAGAAGGTAAATACATTTAAATTATATTTCAAAATGCCTACAAAAAAAATTTCACAATTTTATTTTATTTTATTTTATTTTTTGCAGCAATAGTAAATAGAGTTCTGAATGAGTCGAGTCAAGTCGAGTTTAAAGACCAACTCTATTCGACTCATTTTTTTTGAGTCAAGTCAAGTCAAATTTATTTTATAAAATCTTTCAATTTGATTTGATTTGAGTTATATAAATTTTAAACTCGACTCAATTTGACTCGACTCAATTTTAACTCGATTTGATTTTGAGAAAAATTCGGAAGGAAGGAGGGGGAAGGGGAGCGAACAATTCATCATCATTCTTTTTGAACGATTTTTTTATTGTTCAAGTTGAACGATTGTTATCGTTTTTCTTGACAATTTTTTTTTATCGTTCAAGTTGAATGATTGGTTATTGTTCAAGTCGAACGATTGGTTATCATTTTTCTTGAATGATTTTTTTATCATTCAAGTCGAACGATTGGTTATCGTTCTTCTTGAATAATTTTTTTATCATTCAAATTGAACGATTGGTTATCGTTCTTCTTGAATGATTTTTTTATTGTTTAAGTCGAACGATTGTTCTATCATTCTTCCTGAACGATTTTTTTATTGTTCAAGTCGAACGATTGGTGATCGTTCTTCTTGAATGATTTTTTTTATTATTCAAGTTGAACGACTGGTTATTGTTCTTCTTGAATGATTTTTTTATCGTTCAAGTCGAACGATTCGTCATCGTTCTTCTTAAACAAATTTTTTTATCATTCAAGTAAACTCGAATCAACTCGAGTCAACTCGAATCAAGTCAAGTTTAAATCGAGTCAAGTTAAATATTTAACTCAACTTGAATTTGGCTTAACTTGCAAATCATCGAGTCAAAAAAACATAAACTCAACTTGATTTGAACTTGACTCAGCTTATCTGACTCGTAAGTTAACTTGACTCGTCTGGAACTTTAATAGTAGATACAAGAAGAAGAAATTATAATAGTGGAGATGGCAAATAAGTATAGAGCAATTTCAATTAGTATCTACTGGTAGAAAGTACTATATACAAAAACTTACAAGATAAAACTATAAAGGTAAAATTGTCAACCTGTAGTGGCAGCAAGCATTAAAACACTATAACATGTATGCAATAGATATTTGATAAATAGAAATTACTACAGGATACAAGATTTTGCCAAAATTATTAAGATGAAACTTAGGCGAGAATAAATAGCCAAATAGGTAAGATATATTTAAATTTAAAATGCAAATATAGATTTATTTATTTTACCACAGTAGTAGCAACAGAAGATTTATAACTTTATTTAAATGAAAGCTTAAAAACATTTTTTATAATTTATCAAAAGATCATATCATACGTAAAACTGATTTATCATAAAGTAAAATATTGAAGTTACCCTACTAAAAAAATTGGTTAGATAGGATTCAGAATGATAAAATATTTTGAGAATAAGACTCATTGTAAAATGCAAATGATGCTAAAGCCACATAATAATCAGTAAAAATAGATGAAAGATCATAATTTAAGCATTATGCATGTAATATATCTTTATTAAAAGAGGTTACCAATCAGACTTTAAATTAAAAGAACATTAGTAAATGATACCAAAATTAAAAAGTTTAGATTGTGATTCAATTGTGTGTTCATTTTACAGATTATTAAGTAGAAGATATATTGTATTATATTGATTGCTAAATCTTTTTCAACACAAGAATCTCCTTCTAGAATGTATGATTATATAAAACATAATTTTTATTAAAATGGAATTTTTAGATCAGTGTCTATCTTATGAGATGATGAATTGCAACTTTAAAGAAAATTTCAAATGGATATTGTTCAGGTTTCTTATTAGAACTTCTAATATGGTAAAACAAGTATTATTTCAGATCATCATGTTAATATAAAAAAATTCTTGCAACTATTTATTGAAGAAGAAAACTCCAGTGGAGGTTCTAAAAAAAAAATAAGTGTAGAATAATCTCTATTGGTATCTATCAGTATAAAAGTAGTATATATGAGAACTCACAAGATAAGCTATAAAATGTAAAGTTTATAAAAATACTTAAGTATGCTGATATAATCAGAATAGTAATTATAATAACTAACAGATGCAATATAACTTGATATATAAATCACTCAGAAGGGAAGAAGGATCTATAGTATTATCTAATTATACAGTGTTCATTCTAAACTGACGTATTTGACAATATATTAAAGTTTGACTGCATATAACTAATCATCGAATATAAGTTCATATTTGAGTAGATTTTTAGGATTAAGACAATTAGAAATCGTGAATATTTAAGAATGTTAGATACAATGTAGAATTTAAGAGATAATAGATATATCTAATAGTCAAGCTACATTTAACATATAGCTTTTAAATTCTTTAATATAATAAATGTAAAAGAACAAAATTTTATTCTTGCAACATTAGCAACAATATGAATTGTCACAAAATTCATGTGTTTCATTTATTAAGTATTCTGGAACTTAAAATTTTGGTGATGAAAAATTTATTATTTGTCAAACATGTGCATTACAATTAATTTCAGATGAATATCGTAATTTTAGCTATTTTTGATAAGTATATAGGGAAAGTTCAACAATACGAGATTCATCAACTTCATATAAATGAAAGCTGCAAATTATTTTTTTGTGATATAAACATTTAGATGCATTTAACCTATTTTAAGGCCCAAAGCTGATCCCAGATTTCTAGAATTAATAAATAAAATGTGAAAATTTTAAATTCTTAAAAATAATGGATGTTATTTTATTATTTAATTTTTATTAATGATAAGTTTTAACTTTGATCATTTTTCTAAAAAAAAAAACTATTTCAGATTATTTTCTTAAAAAAAAATAAATTTAGAGTGCTAATAATATTTTAAAAAGTACAATTCAATAAATTAACAAATAGGAACTTTTATCATATTAATTGTTTTTTGATCATCTAGCATAATCTGATGAATCTATATATTTTTATCTACTTTATATTTAATAAAATCAGCAGCTGGCCATTAAGTAAATAATTAAAGGAAGTAATGATTATATAATTCAATTCATATATATATATCATTAAAGTTCTTGATAATCTAAATAATTTAATTTGGACTTATTATATATATTAGTATTGTAAAAAGTTTTTAATAATTAGAAAATGGATAATTTTATTGTTACTGATTCTTAAGGCATAATGTGTTTCTTGAAAAATTAATAAAGTTTTTTAAAAAATTGAATTTTTGTTTTTTAAATTTTTCAAACTTAATAAATCTTAGATTGCAAAGTTGTTTATAAAAACTATTGAAAAGTAGCATCTTAATAAATTTAAAGTGATAAATCATCATCTTTCAGTATATTTTTCAGTTTTAATTCAACATGATAGTTTATATAGACATTTGACTATCTAAGTTATATAATTAGTTAATGCTATTTAAATGCAGCCTGATAATACTTAAGTCAAATTAATACTTAGATTATAAATTCAATAAAAAGTATGCATCATAAGATCAATAAAAACCTTTAATAATTTTACATAAATGAATTATTTGTTTTGTTAACTTTTGATATTTTTATAAATAAATTTACAGTAAATATGAAATACCAAATAAGTTTATGTTATTTTATGCTATTATACAAGTTGAAACTTAATAATCTTAAATAAAAAAAGACTTAAATAAATAAAGTTACTTATTAATCAAAAATATTTAAAAAAAAATATTTTAAATTTGCTAATACA